CCTCAGTCAGATCCTCCATCTATTCATTAATTCACCATGCCTCCAAGATTCATATATTGGTGAGCCTATTAACTTTTCAGCCGAGTCTCGTATTTATCTTTGACAAAGACAGGAGTAGATTATATATCAATGGAGTAGCAGTTTGAAAATAGTGCAGGCTTCGTTGGGAAAAAAATTCGCATTACATTAAAACTGAAATAAATGAAATAAACACAAATAAATGTCGTTTACGTAACATTAACAATCGAATAATAAAATTTAACACTATTATGCAAAATATAGCCAAAACAATTTTTCCTTTTTTTTTATTTTTTATTTTTTTAATTTTAAGTTTATTCCATTTATACGAAACAATGTTGACTTTCTGCTGTACCACGATTATCCTCAGCAGTATCCCTTAATACATTGTCACTCCAAATCGACTTGCTTCCACAACCTTTCCCTTTTTCAAGACACATCAAACTCAACGCAAACACCTTTTCATTAAAGTACCTTTATTAACGAACCTATGAATGATTACATGGTTCACATTTCGTACAGAGGCATAGCTTTTGATCCATATTTGAGGACTTAAAAGGCGCACCGGTATATGGGACTCACATTCTTATTCAAGAAAGAAAAAAGTTTAGTATAATATATGAAGTTATCTATCAGTACATTACAAACACTGCCGAAGTACATTTGCGATAGGAGAAAACATTACTGTATATAAAAAGTAAGCTACCAATACTACTTTATGTAGGAAATCACAATAATGAAAATGTCCTACATGAATAGAGTAATAAAAGAGAAAACAAAAAATAGTTTATAAAAACAAAGTACGACTAAATAAACCAAAACAAAGATTTAACATTGACGCTGTTTCCTTTCATTTACGTCACTTTCTTCTGTAGTTTTCAGCAGCTTCAGGATTGGATTATGTTGAGGCGTATTTTGCTATCATGGGTCAGCTGGTCCCATCAAATATCATCGTTAAATAATAATAATAATAATAATAATAGATCTGCTAAATTATATTTTCATGGAGTCGGGCTACGTAGAAGTATGAATTTGAGATAAAATTATAGCTTGTAGTATTGAGTGTTGGAGATTGGATTAACTTATAGGAGCCAAATTTGGCTTGTAAGAGACAAGATGATTCTTTTAGATATTTTTAGTGAATTATTGCGTTTTATGTAACGTCAAGTTATGTAATTCATGCAACTTGATTTTTTTTTTAATTTAGATAATTATACGACATACTTAGAAGAGATTAGAAAACAAATTAACTATGTCAACATTTTACTGGAACAGAATTATATTGTGATTATAAATACCAGCTTCCGATTTTGTTGTCTAAAGATATTTCTTGCGATATCATTAGATGTATCACGGCGTATGCATACATGAGATGGTATCAAATTGAACTTAGCTTACTTTGATTGTGCAATTCAATACATCTGTTGCTAACTGGTACTCATTCTATTGAGTCAGTTTGCCAACAAATTGCTTGTTAAGCGAGGTTTTGTCAGATTTTGTTGGAATTTCACTGTGATCTTTGAGATGGCTGCCAAATACGAAAACCGCGCTTTGCATAAAACTTGGCGGGAAATTCGGTAAATCTGCTACCGAAACCGTCAGGATGCTTCGTCAAGCTATGGGTATTTTTTTTATTATTATTAATCACAAGTTTTTGAGTGTCACTCGTGATTTAAAGTTGGTCGGGTGTCATTTCAAGATAGAGAGCATTCAGGGAATAATCAATTGCCGATAAAACACCAGGATGCGTGAAATAATTTCCGAACTCATCCAAGATTCGTCGTCAACAAATCCATTAGCCCATTTACATAACTACTATCAGTTATAAAACCTGTCCGGATATCAAGTCCGTACCGAGTTATAAGCTGAATTTTCAGCTGAAATTTTCATTGTATATTGCTCAATTGACAAGCAAGGAGATTATAAATATATTGGTAAAAAATTAGTGTTTTCAAAATTAGGCCAATGACTTAATATATATATATATATATATATATATATATATATATATGTGTGTGTGTGTGTGTGCGTGTGTGTGTGTGTGTGTGTGAAAGGCAACAAATAAATATCGTGAGACAATTCTTTTTAATTTTCGGGAAAGAACCCTATAATACATGTTAATGTATTGATTAATCTACCAAACTTTTCTGTTTGATATGACTTTATGATCATTTGATATAACATGAAAATAAAAAAATATTCTCTTTCATCAAGAAGGAAGAGAGAGAACTTTATAACAAAACAATAAAATCAAAAATATAAACAAACGTGTAAATGCGTATAATACGACCCCCATTTGTTTACTTTCAATTTTTGTTCAAAATGTCTTGTATTGTGCGCAGGAAAATACGTGTTATTTATATATATATATATATATATATATATATATATATATATATATATATATATATGTGTGTATATATATATATATATATATATATATATATATATATATATAAGGTACTCCACTAATTTCCGATACTTAATGTTTAAAATTAATTTTTAAAAGTGATAAAACATTGTTGAAGATTTTATTTTAGTTTTAATTGAAAGCTACATTATTAAATTTACTATTTTCATTAAGTAAAATATGCTGTTGTAACTCAAGTAGAAATTATATAGATCAGAATCTCAATTTTTTGGCTAATTTCAGAAAATTTTCTTAAAAGCGTCCATTTTCTTAATTTTGAGAAATTTGTAAACAACATTACTTATAACATAAAAAGTAACATACAAGCATTTCTTAACGACGGGTCCTGTTTTTCCTTGAAATTTAGGGGAAGATAGCTAGTATGGATGACCAGAATTTACATAAATTTACGAAATCTAAGTGAACGCACTTCATTTTTGGTTTTTAATTACCTAGTAATTTTTACAAATTAACATATTGTCAGCAATTATTTAATATTTTATTGACTTTCAGTTAGGTTTCAATGCTTTATGAAAATTGGATTTCGTTTCTAGGTTCTTAAGTTTACTAACTTAAACAAAAAATTATTTAATTGAAGTGTAACCGAAACTAAAATAAATACATCAAATAAAAATATTTAATGAAATAGTGATTAAAAAAAAAGTAAAACTTACTTAGAAATTTTGAAGCGACGATTTGCAAAGACGTTAACGATGAAACAAAACTGGATAGTGAAATTGAAAGAATTGCAGAGCGCCAGACGACTCTTAAATCACGTGAACTTTTAAAGGATAATCTCATTTATGATGGCTTACCATAGTTAAAAATTGGGAATGTCTATACACTAATTTGTTTTTAATTATTTGGATACAAATTAAATATATATATATATATATATATATATATATATATATATATATATATATATATATATATATAAATCAAATATTGATCAAGTTTGGATAGGAACCGATAAAATGATAAAATAAAGAACAAGTGTAATGAAGTAAGAGATAATATTCAAATATGTGTGAGAAACATTCTGACAGCTAAAGTTTGTGACATGTATCTAACTAATAAGAACTAACCAAACACAACATAAACCTACGTCTCTGCTTTTTATCATTTTCTTATCATTTCTATCTTGATCTCTGACGAATCTTTAATAAAGTGAAACATGTTAGATTAAGATCTGTTTCCTACTTGCTATTTACACTATCATATATATCTGTGCGCGCATGTGTGTGTGTAAAGTATTGCACAAAGTATGAACTCTAGCAAAATACAAAACCATATTCAACATCAAAACGTAAACTTGATAGCTTGTAACTCGAATAAAAATGGATGACATAATCAAGATATTGAAGTTCCACACTGATTCAAACAAAAGATTAGGAATTAAACCCCACCAATACTAGAAAGAGCGATAACTTATATTGAATTTGAGAAACAATTTTTTCTGGTACATTGTTTTAAGAGTAAGTTTTTTTATAAATTTCAACCGACAGTATATATATATATATATATATATATATATATATATATATATATATATATATATAGATAGATAGATAGATAGATAGATAGATAGATAGATAGATAATATTAGTGGTAAATATATACATACATATGCAAAATATATAAATATATATACATAGGTGCATACACATACATGTATATTTTTGAATAAAAAATTTCGAGAGGATAGAATCCAGGTAGAACTCCATGTCCAGGACAGAGTAAGGATATAATAAAAAGGCTTAAACACTAATACTCCATGGTCATAATTTATTCCATTGGAATCGTAAATGCGATCCAATTCATCAGACCTACAAATTCAAAAAGAAAACAGAAAAAACAACTCCAGAAATAAAATAGAATTTAGAGAGAGTGTAAGTATGAGAGTGTGGGACGATATATATATATATATATATATATATATATATATATATATATATATATATATTATATATATATTATATAAACTATAAATATATATTAAAATTGTTGTCAGAAAACTTAGTCCATTTCTTATAATATATGATGTCATTTATTTACGTTACGTTTAGAGAGAAATCATAAGAAATTTGTAGTTTAAAACAGTAATCTAACCTTCCTAACCAAACACTTCCTCTGTAGCGAAATGGTATAACACGTCTGGCTACATTACGGTTCCCTGTAGGATACAGGTTCGATTTCTGTGGGAGGACTTATATTTAAGATGAGATTTCTCGTACGTTCAGGCCGGTAAATGTTGTTAATGTTTATTATAAACAGTGCATTTGCTTAAAAAAAAATTACCTATAAATATAACGTATAAACAGAAAATATAACGAAATAATTGCCGGATTTATTCCATTTCATTATATATATAGACTTGAATATATGTGTGCCGACGTATGTTTTGCGAGTACGTCTCTACACCGTAAATTAGATTTATTTTCTTAATATGTGTATGTCTATTAGCGTTTGGGCTTTTGTCGGATTTAACTGTGTTTATCTATTCCGAAGGCTGTTTTGGTACTGTTGTGTTTCCATGATTGAAGACGCCGTGAGCAGACTTCGCATTGAGTTACTATTTGGCAGAGAATCGCTTGTTCCCATCCTATCATTCTCTTTCTCTCATTTACTGCTTCTTTGTTCTTTTCTTTTATGTCAACTTTTTCTTTTTCTCCCCAGCACTGTCATCTATGCATTTCCCCATTTTTCTTTTTGTTTGCTTTTTTGATTATCTTTTTCTTTCTTTCTTTCCTTCTCATCCATTTTTTCTTTCTTTTTTCGTCTTTATTTTACCTATTTCTTTTTTCTTTATCCCTATGTCTGATTTTTATCTGTTTCATTTTTTCGTTCTCCTAATAACACTGTATTCTCTGTCCAAATATCTCAGTTGAGTTTCTTTCTTTCTTTTTTTCAGTTTTTTTTTCTTTCGCTTTCTCTTTTCAAACTCAAATTTTCTACACCTTTCCCTCTATAAGTTTTGTTTTTTTTCTTTCCGTACAAGATCATTTTATAATTTTATCATTCCCTTTTTCATTTTTCTCTTATTTAGACTCTCATTTCTCTCTTTTTTTATTATTTTTATTTACCCACTCCCTTCTCACTTAACCATTATTTCCTCTTTTTCCTTCAGTATATCTTTTTCTTTTTATCTCTCTCTCTTTCTTTCTCCTGGTTATGCTATTGTCATTCTTCTTCTAATTTCTATCTCTTTTTTTTAACCACTACACCATTTAATTTCTATTTCATTTCTCTTTGATTCTGTTGTTTATCTCCGTTTTTTTCCTGAAGGTTGTGAAATTTGAAGCCAATGGTGGAAGTAACGCTCGCCATAAACGAATGCGGGTCAACGGTAGCAGCATTGACAGTGAAGATAGCGATGATTACTGAGGTAGCCAATACACCAACCACCAATAACATGATAGCTAGCAACTAAATACGCTCTGAAGAACCCATTGACCACTACATCGCCACTGCCTCCGTTGAGCCATTGCGGAATACAAATCCGTTTTGACCTTTAGCGTTGACGGTTTGCCGTTGCATACAGATAGAGAAGTAAAACTAACTTTTCCGGCATTCAGGAAACCGGGCGGAAGCGTGACCTTTCCCAAAGAGCGCTAAACACTGAAAACATCCACTCGCTTGTCTGGCTGGAATGAGGCAAGGAGAGTCAGGTGGTTGGTGAACTGAGAGGTTGGCAAGGCTTTTAATAATAGGTGCCGGCACGGCCAATCAGTGGCTGAGATGTTTCTGCCACTGGCCACTTAAAAGATAACAAAAGAAGAGAAAAGAGTAAAAGAAACTGAAAAAAAGAAAGAAAGAAAGAAAGAAAGAAAGAATAAATAGAAGTAGGCAACTGATTTGAAAACTACGAAAAGAAAAAAATGGAAGTATAAAAAGTAAATTACACCGGATCAAACGGTGGGTCTTCCTACAAAGGGAGACATAGGTTCAATTCCTGCTGATGAGCACATTTTTCTTTATTACGATTTTTCCAATACACAGGCTGATAGACGTGGTACACATTGTTTCAAGTAAAATACAAATGGGACATCTATTTCATATACGACTGTCCACCATGATAACATTTGTAATAATAATAATGTCCGATTAAACATAAAACCATTAATTATTCAGAAATGTGTGTGTGTGTGTGTGTGTGTGTGTGTGTGTTTTTTAGAGAGAGAGAGGGAGCGGAGAAGATGAAGGTTAAGAAAAACCAACCAAAGCAAAATCATAAACTTTGTATCCATAAAACAAACTACACTTTTCTTTTTAACGTTTCCTGATAGTTTTCCGTCGCTCAAATGTTTCAATTATTAGCTTTTATTTTACATTTTAAAGGAAATGTGGAATGTATACATATATGCATCTAAGAAATTTAGAAAATATTCAGTTTCAGATTTTATGTCAAATAGCCGAATTTTGTATTCCATCGTTTTGTTCATTAATCGTTGTTTTCATCACTTTTCACTGTTGTAAATTTTTCTAATTTGTCTTAAATTTTAGAAAAAATGAAATCATACCATTAGCAAATATAAAACAATAAACCAGTATTTATATCTATGATTGGTTTTGTTATTGTGTAATGATTTTTACTTTTTTTATCTAAGAAAAATTTTTTAAATAGTAATATCTCATTAGAAACAAAGAAAAGATTGCTTAACAATGTAAAATGGAATCCCTTATACGACATTGAATATTAGACAATAATCTCCCAGTTAAAGGAGAGACTTGAAGCAACCGAGATGTAATTCTATCAAAAGAATCTTAAGAATATCATGGATAACAAATGCATATAACAATAAAGGTTTAAGGAAAATAAGAACAACAAATAACGTTTACTTACAATCAGAATAAAAAAAGCAGATGAAATTTATAGGCTACATAATGATAAAATTGGGCCTGGATATTCTACTATACACAAGACATGCTGTTAGGCAAGAGAAAGAAGGGAAAACTGTAACTGACCCACTCTGTCACATAATCCCGACACATTATGTGATTAAGTAGATTAATTATGTAGATTAAGGTGTTTGTCGACCGCCGTCGTTCTATCATAGTGGGTTGTATACGTTAGACTGTACGTCTGTCTTCAGACGAATAATCCAAAACTTTCGGGGTATTTTCATTCAAATTTCGAAAAGTCAAAAGTTATTCAGTAACTGTGCTTAGCATCGCTGAGAGTCTCAGTCTTTTGCGATAGTAACTACATATCCGGATTTGTTGTTTCTTGTTCATGTTGGACATCATTTGTGAAATGACAGCCTTAAACCAGTACACACACACACACACACACACACACACACACACATATATATATATATATAATATAAAAGTAACGTAAAGTCAACACTTAGGGCGACAGTCTGTTTCATGCTAGATGCAATCTCTCAGGCCACGTGGCCTGACGATTGCATCTAGCATGAAACAGACTGTTACCTCTAAGTGTTGACTTCTATGTTCACTTTTATATTTACACACGCCTATCTCTGATATTGAGCACTTTATCCCATAAATATAGCACATCTTAAGACTATATATATATAATTTAAAATTTAAGTGATGCAAATATTTTCATATAGTACTCAATATTATAAAAATAGAGCATTGAAATATTATTTTTTTTATATATATACAAAAGAATTACTTAACTCTAATTTTCCTCGACTCCGAAGTTTCGAGGAAATATGTCCACTTTTGAAGGGGTAAATCCGTATATTATATATTTACAATTGTAATGAATATCCGTATTTTTTTTCAGTTTTCATATTTTTATGATTTCCCATTTAATTTTAGATAGTATATTCTTTTTCTTTTTCACTCCATATATATTTCGATAATGGAGTGTTATTTGCGCATCTGTCTATTTTAAATGGCATTTTATGATTATTAAATATTTCTTTAAAACTTGTTTCTGTTGCTCCTATATAAATATTTTCTTGTGTGTTAATCTTATTTGATAAATTTACTTTATATATTATATCATTAGTTATACATTTATTATCAACTGGGCAGCTGTTTTTTATTTCGACAATTACAATTAGCGTTGGTATTTTGCGAGTTTGTGTTATTGTAATTGCTATTATTTTTGTTTAATATTTTTTATTATGTTTATTTATTATTTTCTCCATATTATTTATACATCTATAACTGAATATAATTGTATTTTTATTAATGATTTTTGATAGCGTACTATTTTTAAGGAAGTGTTTGTCAATTAATTTAAAAAATATTTTTCCTAGTATTTTTTTTATTATTTTATTTTAAGGTGGATTAAACAAAATTATATATTTCTTCATATATTTTTTCATGTATTATTGTGAGTCATGTATTCTAATTTATTCGAATAAACACTTTTTTTTTAATTCTGTATCATAAACTTGTTATTTTCATTAAATATTTTTATATTGCTAGAATTACTTGCAATTCTTTTGTCAATAGATATTGATATATGCTTAAAGATATTAGTTCAGTGTTTTATATATATATGGGATTATTATTTGCTTACCTATATGTTATTTATGTATTATTTACATTAAATGTTATGTCAAGAAAATTTACTATTTTTACATTAGATTTTATGTTTATTAAAAATCTTTATTTGTTAAATATTTTTATTACTTTTTATATTTTCTGTTTTGTCTACCATTACAGTTTCTTACAATTATTATCTCACCATCTGTATATAAACCTATATCCTTTTTATTAATGACATTTGATAAATTATGCATGATATATATCCCTATATATTCGTATAAATTTGTGCCATCATAACTGCCCATTGATATGTCAAATTCTCATCATCATCATCATCATCATTATTATTATTATATAGTTATGTTATTTTTTATTTATGTTGTTTAAACGTTATTTTTATGTATACCCATATGAGAGTAGAAACTTTGTTTTTTTTTTCATTAAACAGCATTTTGAATTAAACATTAATTTTTATCCCACTACATCTACCGACCTGAATATTCGAGAAATTTTGTCAGCAGACCGGTAAATGTAGTTGATAAAAATACTGTTTAATTCAAAAACAGATTCTACTCGAATATGGGTATCCAGCGAAAATAACGCTTAAACAAATTAAATTAAAAATAATAATATGTCGGGGTTAATCCATTTCCTAAAAATAAATTGTCTTGGTTTGGTTTAGCATAAGATACAGAGCTGATATTAATGTTTCGAAAATCGGCGGAGTGTTTAAAAGGCACTATTCGGGCTTTGTTTGACCGGAAATCCTACGTTGCCGAGCGGTCAGGCACATCAGATCCAATGACGGTTCCCCATAAGGGATGCAGGTTCAAATCATGCCGGGGGATGCATATTTTTCTGACAAGATTTCTATATATGGTAAAGTTTCCATCATTGAAAAAAGCTATAAGAGACAGAAAGTCATGGGAAGCCATGAAATTCCACGTCCAGAAGGTCCACAGTGCATAAATGAAAGTATCATGTCGCTATTAAGAGAAGCATGCATTCATAAAACACCTGATGTGCAAAGCACTTAAGCGTTGCTCTGTGGAAAGTATGATTTCCAAGGGTTGCTGTCTTTAGTCGGGATTATTAAATTTTATAATTGTAGGCAATATAGCAATCGCTAAAAAGTATCAAACTCCAACTAACACTCACAAACTTAATTTCGCATAAAACAATCATTCTGTGAATTTCTGTTTCTATTTAAAGTTGGGCAAACGATTTCTTGAGCATTTTTAAAGTAAATATTCAATTTTTAATTTAATCGATGGATCTATAAATCAATCCCTTGTGCAGAAGAAATTATGTTTAACTTAATGTTTAAATTAATTTTTATATGTCTTACCTAACATGATTTCTTAATATTTTACATTTTTTGTACGTTTAAAAGATAATCAATTATTAACGTCCTACACAAATGTAGAAATATTTTAACGTATAATTACACTCAGAAAATACTTCAAAACTTCACTTGAAAAATTAAATTGAAAAAGTACAAAACCATATTCGTCCCACCTTGGCCCTGACACATCAGAGCTTGTAAACTTGGTGCATGATAATATATTAGACCTTTGCGAAAATACATAAGTTCATACATTTATTTTTTAATATGAAAACATTCGGAGTAAGAAATTGGCCAGAAAAAAACTGAAGAGTTATTCTCCAAGGTGGAATTTTTCGGTGATAAACGATCTTGGTTAAGCAAAAATTACTACAATAATTCTGAATGAATTGTCTC